CTGTCAATATGGGGTGCTGTGTGTACATTAATGAGGAAAAAAATGAACTTAAATGATTTTAGCATATGGCTGCAATATAACAAAGAGTGAAAAATTTAAGGGGGTCTGAATACTTTCTGTACCCACTGTATCTTTGGGGCTGCATGTTTGTATTTTTATGACTGTGTTCAGGCTGTGTGTGTTTTTATGGCCAAGCTTGGTGCATGTGTGTGTACCTCTGTGACAGTGTTCTGAAGTGGGTACTTTTGTGCACCTCTGTAATTGTATTTCTTTGAAGGTAGTGTGCCTTAATGGTTGTATTCAGGATTTATCTGTACTTTTATAGTTTTATTTGAAGTCTTTGTGTACCACTGCTGTTGTTGTAACATGCCTGTGTGAGTGTACCGGTATGTGTGTTCTAGATGTATGTATGCATGCGGGTACCTTTGTGGCTGTGTTCAGGATGTGTTCGGTGGAGATCGTTGATGGATTCCACAGAATGTAGCTCGATCTCGGTGAGATCTCGGTCGCTGACCCTGTAGAACTGAGGGGTGGTCTGAGAAGAAGGAGACCTAGACATCTCACCTTCTTTTGAGGAAAACACAGGATGAAGATGAAGTGGGTCGAGATGGTGCTCAACTAGTCAACACCTCGTTTCTAAACAAATATCTGGAAGGTATGTAAATTTTCTAAAACCATGCCATGTATCTGTGCACAGTATTAACTTCCAAATGCCATGTGAGGCTCTGAGAAGAGGCTGGTTAAAAATTCTGAACTAAATTATAAAAAACCCCTGTAAGATGACAGTGGTAGCCAGCACATAACATGCTTCTGGTTACCAGCCAAGCTAGTGTGATTGAACAGATGTTGAGAAAGGCAAATGGCCTACACATGGATTTAGAAAATATTTCCAGCCATTTATCAAAAAGTCTGTACAAAACTGTGTCGATCCACTGAGATTTTTCATGAGGGAACTTGGCTCTGAAAAACCCAAACGGCTATTGGCTTGTTTATAATTGGAGGGTCACCTATATAAAATCACACGAATCTCCCTGTTAAGTGACATTACTGCTCTTTCACTTTACATTTGTGGCCATTCTAAGACAGAGGCCAAGTGAAAGGAATGAGCGATTTCCTAATTAAAGATCTGGCTGCCGTTTATGGTGTGTTAATAGAACACAGTCCCTCGGGTGTAGGTATTTCCTGCTTGCCTCACAGGAGACACTGTGCCAGCTACTGCAGATGCTTTATGCCTTTGCCTGTGGTTATTTACTTGCATTATATTAGTCAATTGTATTCACAAGTTGTTATTGGACTAATCAACATTACAGTGGAACTTTTTGTTCTATTGAGACCAAGTTTGATGTAATATAAATCTCAAATATCAGAGATACGGCGGCTACGAAAGGGGAAGATAAAAGTCACAAGGAATTAGAACACTGTAGTAAAATATAAATAGAGCAGCAAGTTCGCACGTAAGAATATATCACGAGAGGGTAAGCGGATCATCTTGGTTTCTGTTTGAAGACAAAACAAACAGGTCATATGAATAGTGCACATATCAGAGCTATTATTAGAGCTGGTTGTTAAACCTATGAAGCATAATTCTGCTGGAATTTGAATCAAGGGTCAAAAGACAGGCCTGGCTCCTAACTAATGGCTAACCAACTGGATGATTAACTTGATTACTGCTTGCCTGCCTGATTTACAGGCTACCTAACTGTTCTCAAGATGCTGTAGACATATCTAAAAACATACTCTCTTCCCACTTACCTTCTGTCACCATGAAAAAGAGCGGAGTCGATTTTATTTTTATTTTTTGTGTGTTGGCTTGTTCTTGTCTGTCACTTTTCGTGCTCACCCAGTCTCTTCACACTCAGGCATTTGATTCCCAGAACATATGTCTGCACCCACAGGAGCAGCAATAGGTTATCTAAACATCCACACAGGTTATCCAGGAGTCACACATTGACTAAAGTAATCCCATCAATCTTAGATTAAATCCCAATGATGAAAAAAGAGGTTCCAGTAAAATCCTTGATGTAAGTGAACAAAAGGGAATCTCCAGTTTTCACCCTTGGAGTCTTACTGCTGATGAGTGTGTGTCACTGTTTGAACGACTGTAGGGCACCCAAGTGCCACCCCCTCCTACTAACTATGTTTGTGTGTCCATGTTCTGATTTAACCTACCCTAGCTGCCCTGTTACCCCTGCACCAAACATGCTCACACATGCCCATCCCTGCAGGCCCTCAAGACCTAAAATAGCTGTGGGGATATGGGGATATTATTAGTTTCTCAAGCCAAAGGATGACTCACTGATCTGGCTGGGCACAGGGAGGAGGTACAAAAAGATAAATACACCAAAAGATAAATCTGAAGCTTTCAGAAACTGCAACATTAGCACAGTATTGGATTAGCTGAAATTTATTGATTCTATTGGAGTAAATATGGTGTTTCACCAGCAATGAGCATAAACAAGATGAGAATCTACACGGGCAGCTCATGGCTATTGAGTGTTACCACAGGGTTTGAAGAGTCAGAGGACTTATCAGCTCTGGAAATGTCATCAACTGACAATTGCTAACTATAATTCTTGACCTACAAGTTCTGTTGAGTCAGTTAAGGCCTAATACCTGATGAAAAAGAAGGGCATCTAAACTTTTGCACATGCCAAAAGGACTATTTAATTTATTCCTTTTTTTTTGCTTCATTAACATTTGAAGAAAGGTTGTTATTGCCTGTTTTGTATTTGCTTCTTTTTAATTTAAAAGTTAATAAACTATATGATTTGTTCAGGGGTGGCCAAATCTTTGCAGACAAATATATATGGCATTTTCTCAGAGCATAATGGAGAATTGTCATATATACGATATATTGTCATATTTTAATATGACAATATATCGTATGGGCTACAATATATGGTAAAACCAGCGGGTTCCACACACAAAGGTAGTCCTTTAAAATGGCTACCACATGAGGTTGCCACATATACAGTTTTCCTATAAAAATAAAAGTAATGGGATTTAAATTTTTTATTACTTTTTTTTTTATTTAAATATACAGTGTGTCAGGGTGTAGCTGGGCTGGGAACCTCAAGCACCAGGTAGGACCCATGTCTTACAATCCAGGCATCACCAACCCATCCAAAGATATATCCTCAAAACAATTATGTAAAGTGTTTATTTACCAAACATATGTTCCCTTTAAGGACACCTGTGGAAAAGCAAATTAAAGAACTGATCATCATGTGGTCCTGTAACCTGTTTGACTCTGTTCAACTTTATCAATCAGATATTATTTTAAAATTAAGATTAAAGCTAAACTACTAGTACCAGACCAACACACGTTATCACTGTGAGGTGTGGTGCCGAAAATGATCATTTCTTTAGTGTCTAATGGAGATCTGTAATAGCTAAGCAGCTGTTATTTGCATCTCATAAAGCTCTGCATCGAAAAACAAACTAACCAACTACATTTCCCAGAAGTCTTTACTCCTTCAATCTCGGTGTTGTGTGTTTTTGCCAATAGAGCAGAAATTCCACAGCGTGGAGTTCGAAGTGTTTAGCAACACAGCGGAAGTGTCGGTGCACGGAGTGTGCGTGAGACTTCGACGGGGACTCAGGTGGCACGATGTGGGCTCGGCTACTGGTTGGGCTTGGGGGCTCGGGGCTCGGGTTCCGGGCTTTCCGAGACGGTTTACTGCGGGTCGCTGGAGCTGGATGTGCGGGGAGGAGGCAGCAACAGAGGCAGGCTTCAGCCGCGGAGGTAAGCGGACCGTGAAGTGTCGCTGGGTCATCCGAAGTGTTTTTGCGCTTTGCTTTTGTTGGCGTAATCCCATCTTTCTCACTGGAACATGATGAAATAAGCAAATCTTCTTTGTGCATACATTTTATCTGCGGTACAAAGTGTTAAAGTTATCAGAGACCTCACCCTTTCTCTCGTGTTATCAGTGTAAGAGTCCAACAGCACTATCTAACAACCTGCTGTCTGTGGCCCTCTAGTGAGTTGTCTGACTTATGCTCATTTATGGTGTCTTACAATATTAATATAATTTAGCCATATTTTGTGTGATGCGGTATTCTGCATGAATTCAACATAAATTCAGATGTTACATTATGCCAGATTTTTAATCTCCTAGATTTTATTTGAAGGTTTTAGGCTACAGCAGGCTTTGCTGATTTGCAGTTGTACTGAACTGCATCCCAGATCACAGAATAAATTTCTGCATATTACAATAATAGCATCATGCTGTGCCACAGCAGCAGACACTTCATGCTGACATAATGTACATCTGGCCCAGCAGCCTGTGCTGTCCCTCGCTTCGCCTGCTCCACTTCACTGAACTGCACATCATGAGTTTATTAAAACCAGAAGTGACTGACTCTTCAGTATTGTCAGCACTGACTTTACCAGGGCTAAAATAACCAAAGTCCGAACCATGTGGATTGCCTTCATCTATAATAATTTGTAATGTCTGTGTCCATTCACAGTATGTGTGTATAGTACAACAAGAACAATCACATCTTCTCTGTTCAGCAATTAAGATCTGAGTTTGTAAGAAGCAACTGAGTCTTAGGTAAAGGTAAACACGCTCCATCCCACACTGCTGCTGCTGCTGTTACACAGATGGGCTTCATTGACTGGTTCAGCGGTCACAAAGAGTAGGACACAGGAGTGTAGAAAATATGAGTAGCGGGTTGTTCTGTCATTCTGATATTTGGCTGTTTGATCTGACTGTCAAGTGGGCTGTAAAATTAAATGTGTTAGCATCTCCCTCATCACATGCTGCTCTAGAATAACTGATATTGTCAGCCTGACTGCAAAAGATTTGATCCAGTTTTGGGAGGGAAATCTGCTGCCTAGCTTTAATGGTGTTAAATAGGAAAAATACACCGTATGTCCAGTGTAGAGTGAACACCTACACTTCTCACAGTGCAGGGAAATGTATCGTATCAGACAAACTGTTAGGTCATCTGGTTTGCAAAGGGAAGTTGTATGTTATAAGTAGTTTTTTTTAGAATAGTGGCTGGCTTCTTTTTATTACAAGGGAAAAAAGTAATTTAATCACAATTTAATTTTAGTACCCTTAAGATACATAATATCAACAGCTAATCGATGTCTACACATACCAAAATTGACCTACTGTTTGTGAACTTGAATGTCCTGTGTAAACCCAGTGGTGTTTTATTTTCCCCAGCCTTCTTTGAAGAAGACTCCACTGTTTGACTTCCACAGAGAGAATGGTGGGAAAATGGTTGAGTTTGCGGGCTGGAGTATGCCTGTCCAGTACAAAGACAGTCACATCGCATCACACGTGCACACCAGGGAGCACTGCTCCATCTTTGATGTCAGCCACATGCTGCAGGTCAGACGACTGTAAACTGACACACACTGACAGAGACATGCACTTCTGCAAACAGGCGAACAGACATGCATCATCACAGTATAATACGATACTCTGTCAAATGAGCTTTTCTTTTATCCATGACCCAATCTGCCTGAAAACTACTGTTGTTGCTATATTTAGTTATATCCTTTTCTTGTTTGCTGCCAGACCAAAGTCCATGGCAAAGATAGGGTGAAGTTCATGGAGTCTCTGGTGGTTGCAGATATTGCAGAACTGAAGGACAACCAGGTGAGATGAACAACTGTTACACCGTTACCTGATTTTTGTCCACTTGGGGGCAATGAAAACAAGCTATAAGTTATCATCTTTCACTGTAAGTTGGTATGGAGAGCTTGTTAGCCATCAACAAGAGCAGTGAAAGAGAACCAGGAGCCTTATTAATAGTCATTGCATTTGCTTCACAAATAGCCCATCGAGCTGTACGTTTCGGTGTTGTCATGTATCTGTTAGCTGGTCCATAGTCTGATGGTGTGCAGCAAAGTGTTTAAAACATTCACCTCCATGTTTGACCACTTAATTTAATGACTGTCCTGTTTGTTTCAACAGCTACCATGGGCATTATCCTCTCAGGCTGTTTGTTTGTAGCGCTGAATCCATTCTCCACAGGAGCATGCAGCCTATATCTACTCATGGGGGATTTTCATTGACTATATATGGTTAATTGTGAAGGGTTTTGAGCAGAATATGGGGTGCTTGTGAATTGTACTGTATTTGTGTGGAACTGTGTATGCACACGGTTTTATACATCTGATCATATTTTTGTGTACACCTGTTCTGCTTTGTGCACATGTAAACTATTGGTATACCTCTTATAATATGCACAGTTTTTAAATGGGGTCCTGCAACAGTAGAGTTGGATGTCCAAAAACCAAAGTAATTAGCTGAAGAACCCTACATATTCTGAAAGGAACTGCAGATAATTCTATGTGGGTTGATCAAATGATAGCTGCTTTAAAGACAGTGCTCCATAAATGAGTCTATATCGCTGGCTGCACTGGTGTTAAAGAAAACACCCAAGCTGTGTCCCATCTGTGTCGCAAATACGTATCCTGCATTTTACCATCAATTTCTCACCCACTCATCTTTTTCTCCACCCTCCTTCACCTCCAGGGTATATTGTCCCTCTTCACCAATGAGAAAGGTGGGATTATTGATGACCTTATAGTGACAAAGACAGACTGTGGCTACCTGTACATTGTCTCCAATGCCGGCTGTGCTGACAAGGACTCGGCTCATATGAAGGTGAATATAGACAGTGTGTATGGACAGACAGGTGTGGAGTCAGGCAGGCTGATGTGTGTGTTCTGCATGTAGGCCAGGCTGGCAGAGTTCAGAGCTGCAGGTCTTGATGTGGATCTGGAGTTTCTTGATGAAGCGCTGATTGCTGTGCAAGGTAAAATATTCTGTGAGACTTTCTTTATCTTTCTTCCTGTTTTCTTTCTTCTCTACTTTTTCTTTTTGTCTCACTGTTTCCTTTTTTACTCTGTCATCCCATCCGTCTTTATCTTCCGACTTTCTTCCTTCAATTCTTTTTACTCTCTTCTTTTCCTTAATTTCTTTCTTCTGGTCCTCAGCTGGTTTCTTTGTTTTTCTTTTTGTCCTTGTCAGAATTTCTCCAACTGCTCCATGTTTATGTTGTCAGGACCAACCATGTCACATGTGCTCCAGGAGGGGCTGAAGGAAGACCTTGGTAAGCTAAGCTTCATGACCTCCACCCTGGCTACCGTGTTTGGTGTCCCTGGCTGCAGGGTCACACGCTGTGGATACACTGGAGAGGATGGGGTGGAGGTGAGTGTCTTTTTTGCTTCCTTTTCTTTGTTTTGACATTTGACTTGAGGAAAGATAAAAGGCCATTTTAAGTCATTAATTAAAGACATTTTACAATGGACACATAACGTGAGGACTTTTCCTCAGGCTTTTCTAAAACCATGATGAATTGATCTCATTCATCATGTCTGTCAGCTGCAGACCATTTATTTATTTATTTATTCTTTCAAGCATGTAAAGACAGTTGATATATCAACACACATAATTTTACACATATCCAACAAATGCTAATCCAATATCAATTTGCTTATACCTAGTACATGCTTGAATGGAGTAGGAAGAAGTCAGACTTATCCAGTCCTACCCCATGACATCATCTTACCATCATTGGTTTGCAAGCAGTATCTCTACATAAATAATTCTCTTCTACACCACACAAGTAATATACTAAAAAAATTATAACAGAGTGTTAACATTCTTACATAATTACATTCTTAAATAATTATCTTCTACACCACACAAGTAACATACTAAAGAATTAATACAAGGTGTTAACATTCATACACCACACCCACAATGTTCCATCTAATTAATCATTAAGC